ATTTTTTAATCCTCTGCAAACTGCTTCTTTTTTGGAGCAAGTGAAACTTCACTTTCCAATTTTACCCTTGTTTTTGCTCAAATTTCAATTTTTATTAAATAAAGGTTTTCACATTTGAATTAAAAACTATTTGATAATGTAATAGAAATATTGAAAAGTAACCCTAAATTTTTTTGAACAGTCTAGAACAGTAAAAAAATTTGCACTGGATAAAAAGGACCCAAATTGTCATTGGAGTTAATAACTTTTTTCTTACTATCATTATTAAATAATGATTGATATTTTCCAAGCAGAAAGCTCAACTCTTTATGTTTGATTTTTTAGTTCTGTGCAAAAGCAACTGGCCTTTATGCTAGGTCGTCAACAAATCTTCCTGGAACTACATGAAGCTACGATAGAAGACGATGACCTCTTTGAGATAATGTCTAACTCCCACTTGAACAATCACTTCCTGAACTTGGCACGTGAATTGGATATAATGGAGCCAAAGACACCTGAGGATGTCTATAAATCTCACTTGGAGAACTCGCGACCACCATTTGGTGGCGGTCAAGTTGATTCAGCACGGCAGAATCTCGCAGCAAGTTTCGTCAACGGTTTTGTAAACGCTGCGTTTGGCCATGATAAACTGCTGATTGAGGACGGTAACAAATGGCTATACAAAAACAAGGAGCATGGCATGCTGAGTGCGACTGCATCCCTAGGTCTGATCTTACTATGGGACGTCGATGGTGGCCTGACGCCGATCGATAAATATTTATATTCGTCGGAAGACTATATCAAGTCTGGCGCTCTATTGGCTTGCGGAATTGTCAATTGCGGTGTCAGAAACGAGTGTGATCCTGCCTTGGCTCTGCTTTCCGACTATGTGTTGCATAGTAGCAACACTATGCGCATTGGCGCCATTGTCGGTCTCGGTATTGCGTACGCCGGTTCAAACAGAGAAGGCGTATTAGGTTTGCTGACACCGGTTCTCAGTGATACCAAGTCGAGCTGGGAAGTCTTGGGTATGACTGGTTTAGCATTAGGAATGGTTGCTGCCGGTTCTTGTAACGCTTATGTCACTACGGCGATTATGCACACGTTAATGGATAAGTCGGAATCTGATCTCAAAGATACATACGCGCGATTTTTGGCACTTGGTTTGGGATTGTGTTTCCTAGGTAAACAAGAAGCTGCAGAAGCGATCATAGCAGCTTTAGAGATCGTTCATGAGCCATTCAGGTCGATGTCGACAACACTAGTGGAGGTATGTGCATATGCTGGTACAGGAAATGTCCTCAAGATCCAACACTTGTTGCATATCTGCTCAGAGCATTATGAATCGAGCAACGAGAAGGAGGAAAAAAGTGAGCGTAAAGATAAAGATAAGAAAGAGGAGAAGAAGGAGGAGAAAGAGAAAGATCTCAGTTCCAGACAGGCTATTGCCGTTCTTGGCATTGCCTTGATCGCTATGGGAGAGGAGATTGGTGCCGAGATGGCTTACAGAACCTTTGGCCACTTGCTGCGTTATTGCGAACCCGTGATTCGCCGCTCGGTACCACTCGCTCTGGGTCTTATCTCTGTATCGAATCCAAAACTAAACATCTTGGATACGCTGTCAAAGTTCTCGCACGACAGTGATCCCGAAGTAGCGCACAACGCAATATTCGCCATGGGACTGGTCGGTGCCGGCACGAATAATGCGCGATTAGCCGCCATGCTGAGACAGCTGGCTCAATTCCACGCGAAGGATCCTAACAATCTCTTCATGGTGCGCATCGCACAAGGCTTGACGCATCTGGGTAAGGGCACGCTCACCCTGTCGCCTTATCATAGTGACAGACAGCTGCTCAGCCCTGTTGCTCTAGCCGGTCTTCTGTCGACACTGATCGGTTTCCTGGACGTAAAAAACAGTGAGTATATATTCTTGATGTATATACAATGAATAGATACAAAGATATGTTTTTCGATAACTGCATTTCATTACTAGCAAGCAGATAAGCTATTCTTGTTACGAATTACGAAGATATAATAACGAATTTGACAATCAATTTCCAGAGATCTTACAACAAAGAAGAATCTTCACTATTTTCTTATATCTCTACAGTTGATCAATCAGTAATTCTTTAAATTCTCACAGATTTTCATATTAAAAATAATATCAGATATATTACAATATAAATAATATTAATTATTTTCTTATAACTTACAACAAATTAATAAATAATAAAACCCAGGTCAATACATTAAACG